GATAACAATTAATTATTTTCAGTTGCATGTCTTCTCCTAGAACCTTCTTTTTCTGGGTGTTTACAAACAATTTCCAACATTCGGGCGTAGCAAGACACGAAACCGAACTTAAAACTGTCTGTAGTTAAGCTCATACACTAATTGTTTGTGTCACATTTAAAGATTTTCTTTTAGGTTTCCGCCATTTCAGGTCTTAAATTGGTTCAGTGTCAAAAAAAAAAACGGTCATTTATGGATTTTTCCACATTTCGTGACAGTGCTTTTATATGAATTTCCAGTGAACGTGAAAACAGTTAACCAATAGGTGTATGAATATCTTTATTCACCTTTCAGCTCTCAATCTGATATTTTGATCAAAGTATGCGGCAATAAATACGGTTTTGAACTGGTACCATTTAAATTAAGATTTTTAGAAGAAGGAATAAGAAGAAAATATGCCCAAGAACTCAGTATCCTAACAATGGTGCTGTCAAATGAAATAGTCATGAACTGTAAATGCGTTAACAACCAGATACAATTTTTCCCACAAAAACGCTCTTTAATTAAAAGACAAGAGGAAAAAACTCGATCACAAGTCATCGTGTATAAATAAATGATGATCTAAGATTGTTGTGGTTTTATCTTCTAAAATGGTAGGAACATATAAAAGCAGATATCTTTTTTATCATAACAGAAGAGCGCGGTAAACGAAAAGAGTCGATCATCTACACTCTAGAGCGACGATGAAAACATCTGAAAAAATTGTTGCTCTGTTGGGTATCTTATTCATCGCTGCTCTCCTGGTTGATCAGGCAACTTGTTTTGTAACAAAAAACCAAAGGAGAGAGTTTGAGGTTAGTCCAGTAACCCAGATACGTTTAAAAAAATGTTTACTCCAAAAGAAATAAGAAACCTTTATTATCTGGTAAATAGTTTGAGGTGGATATGGTTCAGGGGCAGAGCATTCAAAGTGATAATTCGAAGGTCATAAGGCCGCCTCCTTTTTAGATTTCTGAGAAATTGACCTTTCCCGACAATTCTTGTGTCATAGACTATAACAATGGACACCTTTGCCCAATAATCATCACGGAAGACTACGGAGTCAAAGGCCATGGCTTTACTTCGCTCAAACCACTGCGGTATTGAGGGAGGCTCACGGTTCTCACTCATCAAGATATCGGTTCTTAGCGAATTGAGGGTGAAACCTGTGAAATTGTTACGGTTGACGTTGATGCAAAAGCATTCTACTCAAGGAGAGTAGCAAAAATTTTAGTCGCTTCATGCTTAACCCTCCCACTATCAAGATCTCATTTAGTAATTCTCCTCACTGTCTGCCATACAATTCTTATGAGGTTAGTATGGAGAAGTTGGTAGAAGATCAACGAATGGTAAGAAGAAAATCTGTCTTGGTCACTTGTGATAAACTCTGGTGGTCTGGTTTACCATTTCTCTTGTCTTAAATTCTTTATCTCATGGTCTTAGAGCACTAGAAATTTCCCCTTGACCTAGAAATGTTTCGGCAACCAAATTCCAAATATTAAATAAACATTATCGTTTTTGACGTTTAATCACTCTGCAGTGTATTTGATGTTTTTTAGATGAAACGTGCAACGAGGGAGATTTGTGCTGCAGCTAGATCATTGAACTGTGAGGGCCTGGCAAAGAGGGAGTTTCGTGACCCCGATGAAAGCGCAAAGTAGAACGGCTCCTTGCAATGACGAGCGGCCGTCAGAGGAGCAGACTTGAATCGCGTAACAACAAGAAAATGATATGATTAGTCTAAGCTTTGATAACGAATAACGAAGATAAAATGAAACCTATCAATCATGTAAATTGAAAAAGAATAAATATCTGGCATAAAGGAATAAATATCTGGCATAAAGGAATAAATATCTGGCATAAAGGAATAAATATCTGGCTTCATATATGGCTTCTTTTCCAGTATCTCAGTTTGCATACTGTTTTAGCACTTTACCACAATGTCGGCAGTACCTAACTTTGCTATCCTCACTGAATGAAGAACTCTCTAAAAGGACGACTGATCCATGTCATCTCATTTCATGAGTGACTCAGAGAGGATAATTTTTAGCATTTCTCACTAAAGAAAAAAAAACCAACACTGAAACCAACGGATAACTAAATCGTTTAGAAATCAGTCACTATTTAAATATCACCTGGAGTGGGAAGGAGGGAAGTCTGTGGATTTTTGGGGGAACAGAGTGGGGATCAGTCGTCGCTAACAAGAGGGGACTATAGAAAATTGACAGCCAATGAGGGGGATTCATAAGACTGAAGGGCCTTAGGACGGGATTGGGTAAATTGTATATGGTTTTTAGGGGGAACAGAGTGGGGATCAGTCATCGTTAACAAGAGGGGACTAAAGAAAATTGACAGCTAATTAGGGGGAATAATAAGTATATTGCAGAGCCCTAGGAGGGGATTGGGTAAATTGTATTTTGACACAACCTAAATCTCCCGACCCCCCACTCCCACCCCCTCTGGCGATAAATAATGACCATTCGCTTAGAAATAATTAAAAAAATGATTATTTGCCGATTATTGAAAGTCCATTATATATAATTATAATTTAGTGAATTAAGAACCCACTCTCTTAAGTGGGCAAGTGACGTGCTGGGAAACTGGACGAACAAAAGACCTTACGCAATTCCAAAGTGGTAACGATATATCATCCTGTCCTAAATTTGGAAAAGCTGAGTTTTCGAAAAATTTTAAGCCGATTGATCTTTCATTTGCATAACCTCGAAGCTGAGATGAAAACGTGACAAAGTTTGAGCCCAATTATCTTAAGTTATTTAAAACCGCGCACATAATTATATTTCGGAGTAAGTGGAAGAGTTAAGTTCCCTTGATTAGATGAATATAAGCTAAATGGTTAAAATTTGTCGAATTTAAGAAATTGTTCGCCAAATCAAATGTATTAAGAATTGGTCGTATTTGAAAAATTATGTGCATTCTTTAATTAAGTGAATTGCGAATTTGAAAATGCGGGTGCACTGTGAAATTTTAAGCTATGGGGCAAAGAAACGAGGAATCTTGGTTCACCATAGCAATTTTTATCCATTGTATCCTCCTTTATTAACCATTTTACTCCTACAAGTTATTAACCTGCAACTTCTCCCTTTAATATCCATAAATTATCCAGCAAAACAGTAACGAGAAAACACAAACTTATTTGGTAGAAGTCGCTATCGTGATGCATCATGTTGTGTGAGACGGCTGGAGCGGAGAATGAAAAGTCAGACTTTGCATTGGGAACTAAAGGAGTAATGTCATACTCGTCAATAGAAACCTACAGGAAAGCTCTCAAAATGTTGCTAGCCAGCGAATTTTTCGAATTTTATCGATAAAAACTGTATCTTTGACTCAACAAAAATCTTTCTCCCTCAAAATCAATATTCCAGAACTGTTAAGAAATTTGTTTTTCGGGCTGCGGGAGCGAAGCGAGCTAAGGTTTCAGGTGTGACAGGGATGAATTGTCTTTTCTTTTGTTCTTCTTTTTTCTTCAATTGATACGGAATATGTTACTAGCCGAGACAGCCTTTCCAAAGTAACTCTGATTGACTTACGATTGGTTCTTTAGTTAACCATGAACTTCTCAAATTATTTTGTTCGATAGGAGCACTGTTAATATACCTATGCCTAATTCATGAGTAGTCCTAGCTGTGAGATTATAAGATTTCACCTCTTGGTAATTTCATATCGTTTTAAGAAAAGGAAATCTAGATGGGTAAGAGTTAAACCCATCTTTGTTTGTTCGAACTCTATACAAGAGAAGACGCGTGCTAAAATATCTCATCTTTAGTCAAAATTGATCATTTGTGTTTTTAACAATTATCCATGAAAAATCGTGTTTCCTGCCTCAGAAAAAGTCTTTGATTCATTTTACCTCTAGGAATTATCCCTCAAAGTCGGCTATCACTGCTGAGAGTCGAACCAGGGACCTGGTAATGACTGCACTGTTCCATGCTACAGAAACAAGGTAATGATCCTGTTTTCTGGTTAAATCATCTGTTCAATTTTGGTTTTTTAGCTGTCTATATGTGTCCACGAATCGTACGATTTATTGACAAAGAATAGCCCTTTCTTGTAGAAAAGGCAGCTGTATGTAGTCTGATGGATAACATTAATAAAAAAATGTTGTACGCTTGCCTCATGTAGTAGGAACGTATGCTATGAAGCACCTGGGTTTGTTTCTTCACCTTTTACATTTTTTTGCACAACTGCTGCATTGACGTCTTTAAATGCAGAACTTATCTGTAAGCAAGACTGAGGAAGTGCCTGTTAAAACAAGAGTCTACAGAGGGAAAGATAAAGTATACATTCGTGGACTCTCGTGTCATGCAATATGCGTGACACCTACATTGTACCCTATTTCCTGTTTCTTCAAAGTCAACGTTAATGCGCTCGCACAGTGGTGATTGTTTGGCGCACGAAAATTCTTGCTAGCTCTTCTCCCTCGGGGAACTGTCATGGTTGTCTTGCTGCTCTGTTGAAACAAAAGTATTTGCTTATCAAAATTTGTTTTCGTCAGCTATAAAAGAAATAAGCGATCTCAGTTGTTCATTTAACATTGCTTCGTATGCGCATACGAATCGTTTTCGAACATATCTAATATTAAGAGAATTACAAAGCATGGTGATGCTTGGAGTCCTACTACCAGCCTTATTTGTGGCGTTTGTTGCTGTCTCTGCATCCAATGAAGAAGAGGCATATGTAAGTAACTTTGCTCAGATGTGAAGAGTTCCAAACTATTACATTGTACAACATTTGATGCTTCGCTAAAGTTAACCGTCTTTCCAAAGATTTTCATCTAATTTTTTTTTGGAAAAAATTTACGATCTCAGTTTGCTTTTTCAAATTTCAAACAACCGTAATTATATTTAGAGAGAAAGGAAATGGATGATAATGAGGTATTAACTTGTCTTTTTTAGCATCGTTACACGGCTACACAGTTAAATGATATTCTGCCCATTCTATATTGAGTGTATCGTTTTTCAATTAAGAAATACCTCCGAGCCTACCATTACATATCTCCAACACGCTCTGGAAACTACGACTTTAACATAGCAATTAGGAATTTTCAACATTTCATGGGTTTACCAGTCACTGGGAATGTCGACGGAGCCACAATAAAAATGATGAGAAAACCACGGTGTGGTGTAGCAGATGTCGAAGATGGTGCTTTCAAAACTCGTAAAAGGCGGTACAGTGTTTTTGGCTCCAAATGGTCTAAAACGCACCTGACTTATTATCTCCAACCCGGCCAGGATCTGTCGCGTTCAACACAAAACCGAGTAATCGAACGTGCCTTGCAGTATTGGAGTGAGGTGTCTCCGCTAACGTTTTCGCGCGTTGGTCATCCAAGCCAGGCAGATTTGAAAATGAGGTAAGCTGCATGAGGTTCCTGACATTCTGTCTATAAATGTCGGTCCAAAGGCGTAAAGGGTACCAGAAAGCTTTCAGGTAGTCCTTAGCAAGCCACGAAGCTTACTCTTCTCTTAGATTCCTATGTCTACATCCGCAGTGCCCTTTTAGGTTGATTTGGGAAGGCCTCTTTTTATTATACATTTCAATATTATTCTCCGCAAGTGACCAATCCAACACTATCTTTTAGCGTGAACGATTTCTATCACCCCCTTCTCTTTCAGTTTTCAGAGCTCATTGTTGGAAATCTCTCTATGCCGAAGGATATGCAAGATTTGTCTGAAAGGAATACGAATTTTTAAGTCTAAATTGGCTAAATCGAATATAAGTATTCCTGTCAAAAGAAATAGTTAAAGAAATAATGACCAAAAACTGAAATGTGGGAAATAACGGGGAGGAATGTGACCCTGAGATAAAAACCAGTTGCAGAACTAAGCTTAGGAAATAAGGTTTATATCGGTGTAAACTTTAACAAAAGATAGTAGCCAAAATATTTTTTACATCAATCCTTTTGTGATGCTATAATTGCTGTTGATTTTACAAAACAAAATAAAGTAAGCAATGTTTTGCGGTGCTAACCAGGTCGCTTCTACTAGACAATTCGTTTCGCAAACGTGACATTTGGGATGATTCAGACGAAAAATCCTTGTCGTTAAATCAAACGTGGAAAAGTTTTATCCATTGTGCTGCGATTGTATTTATTCAACCATAGTTTTGGCCCAAGAACTCACGAAGGAACTTCAGAAGAAAACACGTGCGGTTACCCTTTTGATGGAGAAGGTGGTGTTCTGGCGCATGCATTCGCGCCATCTGATGGTCGACTCCATTTTGATGAAGAAGAAACCTTCACTGACCTCTCTGAACAAGGAACCAATTTGTTGTACGTTGCTGTTCATGAGATTGGACACAATCTTGGTCTGAGGCATTCCTGCGTGCGAGATGCAGTGATGTACCCGGCTTATCTGGGATACAAGCCTGATTTGAAGCTTCACAGTGATGATATTTCTGGCATTCAATCACTTTATGGTAAGTTTTGCTATTTAATCTCCCGATTTTGAAAAAGATAGTCCAGAACTTGTGTATAGATCTCATTATACCTGCTAGCCGAAAAAAAGAGGAACCACTTTTTAAAAGACAAATCATTGAAAAAGCAGCTTCCTGCGTGAAAGACTCACAGATTTACTGAAAATCCATCCATTTGTTTAGAGGTTCCTTCGGATCAAAATTACTGAGACATCATCTCTCTTTTAACTGACACACTAAGAAAGTAAACAAATCAAAGGTAGGTTGGTTAAATGAAAAAGGTGGTAAGTTTCTAAAGAAACTGTGGTGCTGCGTCGGTGGAGAAAATGGAGCTACGTTATTGGTGGGAATATATCGTAGCTCCATTTTCTGCATATAAACTTACGCACTAACCAAAATTCCTCCAATCGCTTTGACGGAGGGCTAACGCTCGAAACGTCAGGCTTTTAACTCTTTACGGTGCCCAATTTACGTTTTCAACTCAGTTGTTAACACTAAATTACCTGGTTGAATGAAAGGTGTCGCGTAACCGAAGGAAGAGAGCCCTATCTTCCATAAGATGCTCTGGAATATTTATTCCCCACAATCCTTTCATTAGAAGAAGTCTGAATTTACCACTGTTGTGTTTCTCATTCTATTTCAGGCTCTGGAGGTGGAGGTAATGTTTTCTCCGGAAACTAACATTGAGTGATTATGAAACTAGCATTAATTCTTTACCGAGCGAATTCATTTATGTTTCCTTTTATTTGATTATTCATGTTATCATTTAACTATGGTTTTATGGGTCACATGATGTCTACAAAGTTTAAAGCTCTTTGGGCATAAACATCCAGTCTTTTAAAACATTACTTTCAAACCAAATTGCTACAACGAAAAAAAGCATGGCAATTTTGCAAGGCCTCCCAGTGCCATCTGATGGGCTACAGGTTTATTAAAGAACATTTATAATGATTATTTCAAAAATTATTCTAGATTTGAGTTACAGTTGTGGTTGTTGCCAATATGCATTTTGTAGGCAGTTGGCCTGTGCCCTTGTAGCTCTGTTTCTCGCTGTTACACCCAGAAGATGAGACTCATGCATGACAACCAGGTCGAAACAGTTTTCCACGGCTGCATCCCTTGATTGACAATCTATTATGCCGTTTTTACCTTCAGCTCATTGACGCCCTTAAGGGCTAATATAGAGTTTCGATTCTGGTTTTTCAGATAGTTTAAGGACCGCGTGCATACCAGTCTAATAAAGGATCCTTTGCAAAGTTTAAATTTATTACCATAGTTTGTTAACGTCTATGCAAATCGAACTAACCACTCTAGTCATAAACCAATATACCATAGTTCCACATGATCACCGCTTATGGGCGGAAACAGCTAGTAAAGAGTTATCTCCGAGTAGAAAAACAAAAAAGTCAATCATGCTGTACTAAATTGATATGTTTCTCTGTGTTTTTATAAAACTCGAAAAGCTCTTTGCGCTGACAAGAGAGATGATTGTGTAAATTACCAGGACAGGTGCAACGAGATAAAGAACTACATGAGAGAACATTGCAGAGCGACTTGCAACTTCTGCTAATAAGGTATCACTTTAACACGCCTTTTTAGCTTATGAACGAGAAATCTTACGAAAATGGAGGTCCCAAAACGGCAGTTATTGTAAGAAAAATGCTTTCCCATACTCAATACAACTTTCCTTTACTAGGTCATCTAGATATGTACAAAAGAAAAGGTTCTTTTGAATAGATACATGAATTAAGTATCTCTGTGTCAAAAAAACCCAAACTAGCAAAACGACATAATATTTGTGGAAACAGAGGATACATGGAAATACAGATACGTTCAACAAAAGCAACTTGAAAACCACGTGAATAACTTATGTGTCCTACTATTAAACGAGTCTTCCCTTTTTCTAGGAACACGATGATAGTATTCGTTAGATCACTTGTTTGATACTTTTCTCTAAAAACGTTCTGAAAACTATCCAAGGCGTCATTAGTTATCAATGAAACATCAAAGGGGTGTTTTGAATGATTTTAAATAGGAAGGGGGGTGGATGTAACCAACTTTGTTAAACTACACCAGTAAAAAATTTCATTAACCGTTTCACTCCCTCAAGTAATTGACATGAAACTTCTCCCTATAATAGCTTTACATTATCCAGCAAACAGGTAATGAGAATATTCAAACTTATCAGGTAGAAGTTGTCATCTTGATCTTACACCAAATTCTCATAACTAATTTACAAGGATATGTGTAAGAGCTAGAGGGGAGAATTAACAATCAGATCTTGGGAGTTAAAGGGTTAATTAGATCTTTAGCTTTAGTATTTAACCCCTTTGTTTGATCTCATTTTTTTTTTATTTCAAGTGTTTATGGAGTTTACTTATGTCTTTTTACAGGTTACGTAGAGGTGACTGTCTGCAAAGGAATTAAATAGTATTGTTCAGCAAAACGCTTGTGTTAGAAATAAAATGCTATTAAAAAAAATTATTATTTTTTGTTATGACCGATAGTATCCTTGTTAATTATGAACAATTTACGATCATCCGAGTAAAGATCATTACAGTGTGGATCAGTCGAGGTAAAGTTTGGGGGTTTTAAATCAGCAAGCAAGGCTGCTCGGGACACTGTGTTTATGACGTTCGATGACAAAATCTTTAGTTTCAAGATTTATACCTGATTGGACATATCCCCCCCCCAATCGAAAGAACTTTGAATAACCGTTAAGGCACCTTTTTGCACGAAAAAAATTGCTTTGAATTAACTATTTAACCGACATTTTTCTTTGCTTGTTCACATGAGCCATAACTGCCAATGATTGACGAAAGGGGAACAAAATTTTTGACACGTCAGACTCTAGAAGTTTTAATTACTCTAAGTAGATACCTCACAAAAAAACTCTCAGAGATGACAAATAATAAACGACGGGTGCAAAAATGGCAACGGTGCTCAATCTTAGATTAATGCTCTTTTCTTTCTTGACTTCCAAGGTCTAGAACACTGAAACTCTTGCGGATTATGTATCTTACAGCCTGGATCCCTATGAGTGACAAGCATCTAATTTCTCCTTACAATATTACTCTTCTGTCATAGCGGAGCTCGCAGAGCGTAGCCCCATAATTATACAAAATAGTAGTAACCCATCAAGCCGAAAAAATTTGGATGTACGACCGTACGAGGTGCTACTTTTGGCATGCGTGGTCAACTGTACCGCGGGCATGCCAACGCCACGGCTTTGTTCAGTAGTCCAGTGGTCAGTGCACAGGGCTCCGAGTCGGACGACCCAGATTCTAGCCCTGGCCGGGAAAAGTTGTGTGGGAAAAAAAAATGCGAGCTCCGCTTTTAGGCTTGGCTAAATCTATATATTACATTAAGGTCACGAGAATAAAGGAAATGATCACCAACTAAAGACGTTCTTGATTATTAAACATGTTCTCTTTGTTAGCACGTTAGGAAATGTATAGAGAACAGTATGGAGAATATGCATATGCTCCAAACCCTGTAATACTCTTTGGAATTATTGGTCAATGGAGTGATTGTCATATATAAATACGTATAAGAGTCTAAACCTTACGAAAATAAATCTGTGATTTCTTCCGGCCTTCCATCATTTCAATAACGTAAGATTAATCACCTGTATCGTTTAGTAACCTTTTAAGAAAAAAAAACTTCTTTCTTGAAGAAAACTAAATAACTCGCAGCCTGAATCACGACGACTCGTCAACAGTCTGCTCTCACCAGTCAAAGAAAATCATTAGCATATTTCATTACTTAGGGTAGTTACACCTAATTGCAGTGACACTGTTATAGAAAAGAGCAAAAAAGGAAAAACCAAATTTGAACAATTAGCATATAGTATAATCATACGGCACAAGCATAAACACATCTTTTAATTTGTGGTATTGCTTGAAAGTTCAAAACAACATTTGACACTCAAGAAGTTTCAAAACTTTTTTCAGTGGAAATTCTGAAAAAATCGTTCGGCTGCCAAAGTTAGTTTCAGATGCTATTTGAACTCTATTTAATCTGGGTTTTTCTCGTTCTATTTTTTTAAATTTCATATAACAACCGTTGTTACATTGAATTAGGTGTACCTGCAAGTGGATTTTAGTCCATTATCACCTTACTTATCACATATCCGTTATTTTTCCGTGGATGCTGATTGGTCTCCTCAAGGAAAAGTAATCAATGCTGATAAAACAGCTTGTGCTGTTTGGTTATAATCATTGTTGTAATTAATATTCAAGGAAGGGTTGAAGATCTCTGTAACTCCTATATGTAAGCTTTTCCCCTAATTCTCAATAGTAGATCGAAAGGTTCTTGACCTTCAATGACTCCTATGGATCAGGAAGTGGGTAAGCCCTCTATAACGAGCTTTTAGATGAAAGTTTTATGGCAAAATATTTTTAAACGAGGTAAATACAAGCATCCAGTAAAAACGGAAACGTTTGACGACGTACGTTTAAACAACTGAAGTACTTTAAGTTGACCTCAGCTAAAAAGAAAATTTTATGACGATTGCTCATCGGGGTTCACGAGATCGCTTAGAGTTGATTAATATCTTCGTTCTTTTTTATCAAAATAAGTTATTGTTTAAGAGGAGAGCAAGTTGAATGCTCGGTGTAAAACTCGGTAACAAATGTCTCTATCCCTTTACAAAAGGATATGAAAAATGATTAGTAATCGTGGTAAGATGAAATTTAAAGGTCATTTTAAACCATGAAACCAACAGTCTATTACAAGCCCTCTGTGGAATGAATTTTACCTTTCCTATTCCTCGCTTTTGAATAACAAGCCGAAAGAGAAGACAAGTTTGGGATAAGGGTCGAATGTGTAAAATTGATGACCCAGAAAATTTTGAATAGGCAGCAAGGTTAAGCTACGAGAAAAAAACACTAACCTGACTATCGGCTTTCTATAGATAACACAAAAGTATACATAATAGGGATTAACTTAGTGCAGGCAATAGCTGAATGGTATGAAACGTCACAGTGTCACTTTGTCGAGCCTTGAAAAACCAAACGCGCAGAATCCACATGAT